TGGTCTTGAAAATGCTTTTCCTGTTGGATTACATAAATTGTTTTTCAAGTGCTCTTATAATCCTTTTCTCTGAGAGAGAAAAAGAGAAAGAAAGAGAGAGAGGGAAAGAGAGAGAGAGATGGTCTTCTATGTAGTTCACTATAGTAACTATGTAGTCCAGGCCCACCTTGAACTTGAGGTGATCTTCCTGCCTCAGCCTCCTAAGTACTGGGATTTCAGGCATAAGCTAGCTATGTACCTAGCTTACAATCAGTTTTACTATCTAACAGTTAAGTCACAAATTAATGAGCTGAATAAAAGCTTTGACCTGTGCCCATTCTGTTTCTGTGTGGGTCATGGGTTCACCATTTTAACAATTATATTTTGTCTTTTTCTGATTTTTGTCTTTGAAACAGGGTCTCACTATGCTGTTCAGGCTGGCTTGAACTCACTTTGTAGCCCAGGCTGGCCTCAAACTCACAGTGATGCTCCTCCGTCAGCCTCCCGAGTACTGTGACTATAGGCATGCACTACCACACCTGGCCAACTATTATATTTTGATCGCTTATGTATATATCTCAACTCACACTTTCTCCTCTCACCTACTGTGACTACTTACTCTTTAGGTACAGAAGAGTCTACAGAACAAATTCCTCACCTGCCCCTCTGAGTCCAACTCAGAGAATGGCTTCTGGCCTGGAGATCCACACTTGACAAAGCCGCCAGTGGCCCTGGTGAAGATCCTCACGCCACTGGGTCTCAGTGTTCTGAGTGGACACGGATGGCTGGTGTTAACAGCTAAGACCTTGGGAAAGACTGGAATCCAGCAGTTCACTGTCCTGAACTTCACCTTGGATGAGGGATCTCACATGTTCATCATCTATCAGCTGTATGACAACAGGGTGGGCCCGGGGGTGACCAGGAATCTGTATGAGGCTGCACCACACGAAACTGCCAACATTCAACTCTTTATTGACTTTACAAAAATAGCAGTTTCATAGGACTTGACTTAATAGCTCCTTACGAATTTCCAACTGGAAGCTGATCTGGTAACCAGCTTCTGGATATAACAACTGGGACACAGCTGGGACGACACAGAATTTGTATCATCTGAGGGAAGTGCTCTGTGGCTTTCATCAGACTTAAAACAAAAATTTCAGGACTTGCTTTCCAGAAAAACGACACCAAATACAACTTTCTGCATCTGATCTCAGGGAGAATTTTGGACTCCTTAAAGGGCCAGAGACGCGTGGTGAACGCTATTTCACAGATTTTTTTTGAAGACATTCTTTAGGAATAGAGGTTTGCTGCCACCTACTGCCACATGCTTTTCAGGCTGTGTTTGCCGTCAATGTCTTCTAGTCTGGTGTTTTGCAGGAGTTATCAATTTACAGTAAATCACAGAGTAGTCCAATTCTGAGCTGAAATGGGCACCCCAAACCTATCAGTGTAATTTAGTGGAGAAAACTCTGCTTCAGTGCAACACTATGTATTGTCTAGGTTTCTGCATACAGTTCGTTCGGGTTTATCCACTTTGATTCTAAGGAAATGTAGCTTACAACTGTGTTTTGTAAATGACAGTAATGCACAATAATCATTTCCAGAAATTCAAATTATATCCTGTGTAAGGGTTGATACATTGTGACAACTTGAGAAGTTTGGAAGTTTAAGCAACTGAGCAGGGGGCCAGGGTCTGCACTTTGTAAACATCCGCATCCTGTGTAAGAGGAGAGCACAGAGATGGTGTGAGGGCTACACACCTGCCCTAAGGCGGGTAGCCTGCTTACAATATAAGGGGGGAAAAGAGGCTTGTTCTCCCTGCTTTTGCTCTTGTTGCTTTTGCTGTCTTCGTTGCCTTGAACTGCTGCCCCTCTGCCATGCCACCCTGCTTTGGAGCCAGCTGCCTATGGGCTGAAACCTCCATAAACTGTAAGCTAAATAAATCTTTCCTTCCTTAACTTTGTGTGTTGGGTATTTTGTCCCAGCAACGAGCGAAAAAGTAACTAAGACACCATGTTGTCTTGCTTTCTGTTACTGGGGAATGAACTCATGGGTGCTCTTATCATTAAGCTATCTCCCTATCCCCAGTTCATTCTATTTTGATACAGACTCCAAGTTGCCCAGGTTGGCTTTCAACACGTGATACTCCCGCATCAGACTCCTGAATAGCTGGGATTAGTCATGCACTGGCCCTGGCTGTCCTGTTCTCTTGACTTCCTTTCTCCATTGGGGAAGAAGCTTCCATTTGTATATTTATTTCCCTTTGCTTCCATTTGTATATTTATTTCAATTTTCTGGTCTGTAAGTGTTGTCTGTTCATTGTTTTTTGCTTTCAACTGATTATAACACCTGATTGGTTGACCTAAGAATTTAACAAAATCTTTATTTAATACACGCTCATTTGAAATCTGTCTGAAAATTATCCTTTAATAAAAGCCAATCTTATATTAGCCATAGAAGAGAGGACTAGGTTTTTCCTTGCAAGCTCATACTCTAATTAGGAGATGCTCACTGCTACAAATAATCTTTAGAGATATTAATACATTTCCCATTCTTCTTTTTCCTGCTGCTCCATTAAAACAGGCAAGACTCCACTTTATTCCTTCAGGAAGTTATATGACAAAGTAAACAAAATAAGGCGTTCATAAATAGGGCTTTCATTCATTCATTCATTTATTTTGGTGGTGGCTGGGGGTTGAACTCAGGGTCTTCTCACTGAGTGAAGGCCATTTTAAAGTTTTCTTTTCAGACAAGTTCTTGCTAAGTTGCCCAGGCTGGATTCAAACTTCCGATCCTTCTAGAGGTGGTGGAATTACAAGGTGTACACCACCAGGACTTTGGATTTCTGTTTTCCTAAAGTTTAAGTCTTCAAAATAATTTAGCAACCTGGACAGGATGTAAATCTTAGAGAAGACGGGGATTTCTTTTCACAAAATAAGCTGATCTCCAGTGGAGGGCAGATGGAGTGGTGGGAGCAGCAAGACCAGCAGGAGCAGGCGCTGAAGGCCGATCCACAGGGGCTGGACCAAGGGGAGCCCACATACAAGGAATGTGCACTGGGTAGGGCCAGGAGGAGCCCTGAGATAGGACCCTGGAGGTCAGTGTGGAACCCCTTTGTGGCATGAAGATCCTTTACAGTGTTTGCCTATGAATGAATTTGGTTTCTAACTTTCTGAGCTACTTTAAGCCCCCAGGCTTTGACTTAAGACACAAGTTACAATCTGATAAACTCACTTATGTTTTGGGGCTATAGTTTCAAAGTGAAATAGAACAGAAAACATCAGAGTACACCGAATGTAATGAAACCAAGTGTCTCAAATATTTTGTTTCAGTTGCACCAGTGTACGTATTATTTTTGTGATCTAGTTATTCTCAAAAAGACAAAAAAAAAAAAAAAAAAAAAAAAAAATACAACTCTGACCCTAAAGGCACAAACAATCAAATTCAGTTCTATGAGCCTAGCTGTATAAAAAGCCTGCATTCTTTCCCTTTCCTCTGTCCAAAACCTCCAAAGGAGTATCAGGTTAAAATAAATTTTACTTTTAGGGTCCTATTGTGAAAGGAATGACTACCTAAAGAATCTTTGGCAGGAGCTTGTCTATCTACGTGGCCTCAGGTTCAATAATTTGGGCAGAAATTAAGCTGAGATAAAGACAGGCCAGGCCCCCTGGGAATAAACTTTTTAAAAAATCAATTTCTGCCAGCAAATTAGATTAGAACAGCAAATAGGGAAGATAGAAAGGATAGAAAGTACTGCGTTCTCAGGAATGTAGGATCTATTTTTCAGTGTGGTTTTACTATTTAGCTTTCAGAAGTATACATTCTATACTTAGGTTCACTTTTATATTAAAATGTACAACTTTCTAAGCATGACTGCTGTAGTTTGTATCAGAAATGTCCCCAAAGTCCCAGGTGTCAAAGGCTTGGTTCCTACTGGATAGCTACTGGAAGGTGGTAGACCCCTTAAGGAGGGAACTAGTTGGCCGAAGTTTATTAGGGGTGAGTCCTTGAAGAGGTATTAGGACCCCACCCCTTTCTGTCTCTCTTGCTTCCTGGATGCCATGAGGTTAGATGACCACGTGGTCCTAGCACGATGCACCGCCATAGGCCCAAATCTGCAGGGCTGTGAGACCATGGACGGAGATCTTGGAACCTGTGAGCCAGAATAAACCTTTCCTCCTTTTATGCTGATTATCTCAGTATTTTATCAGTGATGGGAAGCTGACTACCCCACCTGAGCGAACAAAAGTATTGTAATTATGCATCATTCCCTGTAAGGCTATGTCACCTTATGCAATAATATTGTCCCTGCTGGCCCTAGGACAAATCTTAATTTTACAAATGTGTTAACTGTGTAACAGCCATTCACAGAATGAACTAGAAGATATAAAGTGTTCAGAAGCTAAGCCCAAAATGAAATGAAACTATAAATATTATTAGTTATTCTGAGATGAATAACAGCACTTCTCTTTTGGAAGTTTAAGAGTAAGGTGGAATTTTATAAAGCACTTACCCGCCACCTTCCTAGCTTCTGTACCCTACTCATGGAAGTGGAGTCTGCTTTAGAAGAGACATGCGTTACCCCATAGACAGTTTCCTGAAACCCTTTTAATGGCCCCGCAGTGAAGTGGCCTTTATGGACAATCCCATTTGTGGAGTTTGATAAGGAGAAAACAGGGACAGCCACAGCCCTGGAGTTGCGAAGTGTGGAAGTCTTGTCTGTCAGAAATAAAGGCGCGTTGTTGGCTGGTTTCATGTTGCCTCTTTTTCTCACTGGGCTTAAAGTGGTTATAGAAAGTTTTTCTTTCTCATTAGGCCTGTGTTTCAAAAAAATGTAATCCTAAAGGCCCCAGAATAGAAATCACGGCCTTAAACCAAGAACTAGAATGGATCTTCACTTACCATTTCCTGACTGAGCAAGGTATTAGCTCTTTTTATTTCAAATAAAACCTAGCACCTGGCACTGTTCTTCTTAATACAGTGCATTACAGTCCCCCAAACAGAACAACACTAAAACAAAATCAAAGCAGTCTGGTTATTTTATTAAACACCACTTGGAATATTGTTTGTATTTCACTAGATATTTCATTTTAATCAAGAGTATTCTTTTTGTAAAGATATTCTTGCAATATACAGGCTGACGAGGGAATAACAATAGACAGCAGGGAGAAGGTACATCAGTTTGGCGTGTTTTCTTCTATATTTACGTCCAAAAAGATGTCATCCAAGGAACACTGTTTTAGTCATATCCTTGCAAAGACTAAGACACAAAGTAAAAACTGCAGCTGCTTTTGTGAGATAAATGTGAATTCACATTCACCACATGGTTAGAAGGCACAGGTCACACTTATCTATTAGAGGGAGACAGAGCCAGCTTCTGACTTCCTGTCCCTCTCTGCCCACCCTGCAGTTCAACTGTCTCCGCCTCAGGGGTGGCCTGCGGCAAAGCTAAAACAGGAGCCGGTTTCCCCAGTGTGGGTCACACTGAATCTGGATAATTTTAAAAATCTGTTCCTTCAATACAACCTTCTTTTAACTGAACATTAATTTTTCCATCTGATTACCATCACCTGATATTCATCTTTACATCCGCTTTCTCTAATAAAGCATATATTTTCAGAATCCAAATAAATAATGAAGTCTACTTACAAATTCCATGGTAATATAATTTCTGAGCAACAGAAGGTCTTCTGATAAGATACTTTGACCAATGGATGTTTCAATTTTTCAAAAGTCAGAAAAACTGAAATTTTTCATTCCATAGTCTCCCATACAGTAAACTGTAAGAAGCCTGTCTGAATTCAGAAAGTAGCTTCTAACATAGATTGAAGCATTAATAAATGTTATCCATTACATAATAATATCTAAATTTCAAATTCTAGCTCCCACAAGTGGATAAAACATCAAAGACAAAGAAAACCGACTTTCCCATGGTCACTCAGGAGTAAAATTTATCTCTTAGTTCCTAATTTAGTATTTTATATGCTAAATTACACAGCTGCTTCAGCTGCTGGAACCTTATATAAACAAAATGGGCCCAAAATTACATTCTCACCAAAGAAATTAATTGGCTAATTTATCAAGTGTGAAAATAACATTAGAATATTCTACACAGCTGATGAAGGGCTTTCAAATAAATGCATTACAAAAATATCCCTTCAGGCAAAATAAATAAGACAAAAATTCAACCTAATATTTACACAAAAGTTTAAACTGAGAACTACCATTCTAGTTACAAATATAGCAAGTGACCCCAAGAACTTAAGAATACTCACTTATAGCTGCTCAATTATTTTAGGACTGAGAAGAGAAACCAGAGTTTGCAGTCTAATTAAAAGCAGTATCTATGAGAGAGCAAATACAGTAGAATGTTACTGCAGCTTCTAGGTGGCAGATGTCCACGGAGTTTTAAACTTTCCTGCATGTCTGAAAAATTTCATGATAAAGTGCTGAGTGAAAAGGTTCAGAGTAACATCTACGCCTGAGCAAACCTAGAAGTTATATGACATTCTGGTCAGTTATATGACACACATAAGAAACTGGTCGGATCCAACCCTCGCCTTCATTCAATGTTATGATGTGTTTGAGGGTGCATTCCAAGACATGTCTGCGTGTGCCAAGGACAGGAGATGCATCAATGACCAGAACACCGTCCCTGCCCTGCAGACACTTTACCTTCTCTAGGGTGTCAGCAAGCAAGCAAACTGGTTCCTGCTGCTTTGGGGGCTTTCCGTGAGCAGGAATGAGCTCCACTCAGAGGCACAAACTTCCACAGCAGAGCCTTACAGGCAGGGTTCGCATCCTGCAGAGAATACACTTTGACAGGAGAAGGAATGCCACATCTCCTTTCCCACAGAAACCTTTTTTTGATCTTGAATTATCTTTCAGCTTTATTGTATGGTGACCTCGGCCTCTGTAGGCAGAGGTAAGATGGGGAACTTTAACACATAGGAGATGTTTAGTGAAACAACTAGGCATTTTCTTCCACGCGTCAGTCTTCGACTCAATGTGAAAGCTGTACACTGGGTTACCATTTGCTGAGATACATTCACACTCTTTGCATGAGACCGTCTTCCTGGATACGGGGAGTCTGGAAGTGCTAATTCATTTTAAAGATACAGTGACGGCACCCGTGAAGCTAGCTACAAGCTACCGTGGGAGTCTGAGAATTTAAAAAGAATATTTCAAAAGAAAATATAAATTACCATTCCTTTTTCCTCAAGGCTTCTAGGGAACTAGGCATCAGACACATACAAGATACCTAATGACATTTTATATAAAACAATGAACAGAATTTAATTGAGGACAGCCAAGAGCAGAGCTGTGTTAGCAACCAAGTATGTGTAAAAGAAATGTACTTCAGAGCCTTAGGTTAGAAAAATCTAATAATTAAAATGTTTTTTGGTTACCAGAGAGTTGAGGAATCCCTGGAAAAGGGGATGACAAGCAATTACTCCTTGGTAAGGAGCAGGTACTCTAATTGCATGCATGATTCATAAGAAGGTTCTTAGTTTGCCTGAGACTTACTGGCATAGAACCAGTACCCAAGAAAGTAATTTATACCGTCATAAACATTAACTGCTAGAGATTACCCAACATCACTATTGTCCATCATTAGGGTAACAAAACCCCACCTTTCCTTCTAATTCACTTTTTTTGTACTATTCCTCCCCAAAATAAAAGCCAAATTACATTTTTAGTATAGCTGGAAACCACTATTGCCGCAACGAAGGACAGTAATAAACTAATAAAGAACAAGCATCCAGAATTGTTTTGTAAGAGCAAAATGTTTGAATTACAACATAGGGCTGCACAACGGGGGAAAAACAGTAAACAATTAGAAAAAATTAACGATGGCAAAGATGACTATGTTAAATGATGGTGAACGGAATATAATTCCCAGCTCAAATGCTTGTAGACTTAACAGGTGAAAGTAGCATGTTTAATAGGGGAGGAGATTCAAATATAAAGAAGATACCAGCTTCTAGGTTAAGACTTGATTCCAAGTTGCACTTTATCAAGAACTTTTCTATTTGAATGACTGCTGAACAACTGGGTCTCTTCTGTATCCACATCATCATCAGTACTGACTACAGTAAAATAACTGGTTTATTACAAAATGCTGAGGGTTGGGAATTATAAAAATTGCTCGCTGTAAGGAAGAGCTGCCCCAGCTGATGGACACTAAGATCAGTGTTAGCCGAGAGAAGGCTGAAGCAATTCTTTGACAGGCAGTATCAACATTCTTGGGGTTAAAATTCAATTTCGTAAGATAGAATTTTATGGTTGGAGGGCACCTTAGGAACATTCAGTCCAACGTATTTCACAGATGGGAAGCTTGAAGCTGTGAAAAGTTAAAGTCAGGCAAAAAGCTGGTTCTCGGGTTTCTGAATTGGCAAAAAATAAATAAATAAATAAAAATAACACGAGGGCAGGAAATGACTCCTCTTAGTACCTCACGCAGAGACAGGCTTTTAATAGAAATTTAACCAGGAAGCTTTTAAATATCACTTCCTTTTTCAAATGGGAAGTTGATGCTTTCTGGCAACAATGAATTTTCTGATAAAAGTACATGTTTATTGCAGAAAATGTAAAAAGTGCAAGAATGCACAAAAAATAAGCCACCCATAGTAATTTATGATATTTCTTTCAGGCTTTTTCTGTGTACATACAAAAATGACTACTGCTTACTTTTAAAATGGAATTTACTTACTCACTGAAAAACAATTACAGGAATAGCAGCAGCACAGGCTTCCCTACTTAGCGGGTAGTGCTGCAATGATTCTCAGGAGCTGTTTGGGAAAAACAGCTAAGGGGCACAACCTGGCAGGAAATAAACTGGTAACTGGTAATGAGCCGGTGGTATTCACACGGTGCAGGGAACAAGGGCTTTTCCTGACCTTTACTGTCACTCTCTAACCACAGCAAGAGCCTTAACGCGGGACAGAGCATGAAGGGGATAGGGAGAGAAATACACGGAAAGGTCACAACGACACTTGCTAGAGTTACTTGGAATGGAAAATAAGACTCCCCTCCACATACAAGGACTCTGAGCTTCCCCTTGAAATTAAGATAGATCTTGAATGCTGGCTGGAGTTCTGATTTGGGCTCTTGGGAGATATAATTCCATTTCTCATGACCAGACACTTTGAATACAATCTTGTGTAAAACAGCAGCGGGTGGGTCCTTTCACTTCTTTGTAAATAATCATACTAGTTATATGACTACCTGAAAACTAGACACCATAATATTTTATTATGCATGGGGTTTTAACAAATACACAATAGCACATAAATCTCTTCTCCCTATAAGGAACATGTGCTCACTTCAACACATTCTATAGAACCCTCCTTGGAACCTAATGAACTAGAGCAACCTACTCATGCGAGGGTGTGTTGTGATATAACCATTATGACTTCCAACCTTGGTTTAGTGGTTTCTCTGGTACCTCCAAAGACTGCCTAAATTTAAAAAAAATCTCATTTTAGGAAATCAACTTTATTCCACCAAAGTAAAACCAGAGGGCAGTGTTATCACCAGTCAGATGTCACAGTGGTTAATTAGTCCAATCGCTTTTAATTTTTATGTTTGTGATTTGGGGAGCACCAAACAAACCGAAGACACGGCAGGGCTGTGGAATTGTTCTCTACTGAACACACCAAAAGGGATGCACAGAGCAACGCTGGGCCGCTGGGGGCTATGTGGGACTCAGCAGCATAAACCCTGGAGAAGATACCGCTCTGTGGCCTCAGGAAATACGTAAGCAAGGCAGGATGAAACGCTTACACAAGTTACTTAAGAGACAACATGTTTACACTCAAGAAGGCCACACTCCGGATTTAAACTAGTCCCCGAGTATCAGTAAACATCAGGAGGGAAGAAACACGGTGAATGAGAACTTCAGGTTTCTAAGGATTCTGGTTAAAATCCTCTGAAATCCATAGGAGGTCAAAAAAACATGAGAACTTAACTTTCCAGTGCACTCACTCCTCCACTGGCACTAGTACAGGCAGTAGTGATCTCACATTTAACATAGCTCATACAGTGCCATAAAAATAAGCCACTTTTTAAGCAAAACCCATTATTATCAATGGTTTGAGCTTTAGCACTACGTATCTGGGTTTTTGTTTGTTTGTTTTTTGTTTTTGACACCAAAACACAGTGGGGCAAATGACCATGGAAGTTCAACAAAGAGGTACACTGACAAAGTAGATGCTGTTGCCAAAGGTACTTCAAACGTAACATTTCTGAAAAAGTATGAAGTATGTGGATTCCCCAGGAGAAACAGCCTTAGATATGTGCGACAGGAAGATGTGGCAAGTGATCTCTTCGAGAACATTCACTGGTACTAGCTCTTCCCCGATGTTTCTTTATGTCTGTTTGCGTATTTTTCTCAAACATAAGGCGCTTTTTCCATAGTCCTTCTTTCCAAACAAATGGAGGGCTGCTACACCCCCGCATCAGTACTGCGTGCCTGAAACCCTTCCTTTCGAAGGCCCCCCATGTCGAAGCGCGTGGACACTTCACAGCGCACTAGTAATGTGTCATCCTTAATGAAGGTTCTCTGTCTTAGGGCTTCCAGGTGCATGAACGTTACATAGCCAAAACCTTTCGGGTTCCGTGGGATTGTGGGCCGCTGGAAGGCAAGCAGCTCTGGTTTGGCATCCATTATCTCTTCATGGTTTTGCCTTACCGGTGCTTCAGACTGATCGAGAATTGTAAGGCGTATCGTGCCCTGGAAGGGCCAGGGGAGGTGGCTGTCATACTCCCCTTGCATCGTGTGGACAAAGAGGGATATGTAGTTTGCACAGCGCTGAGCGGTCGGTAACTGAAGGTGCAGGCGCATGCACAGTTTATACCCAGGTTTGCCTGTGTAGAATCCCGGGCTATGAATGACAACAGGCTTCTCCTCTTCTTGGGACTTTAAGTGCATCCCGAAGTTGCCAATCTTCCAAATGTAAATCCCATTGCACTGCTGTGCTTCAATTTCCGCGACTTTGTCCTCGAGGGATCGAATAGTTCGTTTCAGCTCACTTACGTAGGCACTCTGAGTTTCCATTTTAGCGGTCAGCTCCCGGATTTGATGGTCCTGTCTCACAAGGCGACCCTCTAGTTGTTGAATGGTTTCCTGGAAATTCTGGACCTCTGCGTGGCACCCGGAGGAGGCCCGGGACAGAGAGGCAGGGTCATACGGCAGCATGTCCCGCGGAGGCACGGGAGTTAGAGCAAGGTTTAAACTATGAACAGCCTGGGCCAGCATTCTCATGTGCGACTGGGTGTTCTCCTGTAGGTGTCGTGCCAAGTGATTCCTCTGCATCTAAAAACCAAGCACAAACCTTAGGTGGGACCACACTGAGGACTAGGGAGAAGACCTGGCCAAGCCAAATAAGATGCTTTAAGGAGCATGGCAGCTTCTCTTGATCTTCTACCTCTTTGTCTTTGCCTTTGCTAGATTCTGGATCCAATGAGATGATCCTGCCTCTTCACTAACACTGATGCTCTCTGACCAGCACTCTCAGCTTTCTGCACTAAATCTCCTTTTCACCTGCAAAAATATCAGTCTGTACACACAGACTCGAGTGTTGGCCAAGAGCAGTGCTCTGCCTGTGCCTGCACCTGGTGAGCCCCTCCTTCATCCTCACACTCTCTTCCTTCGCCCTTCCCCTCAAAATGTAACTGTTAAGATATTGCCCACTAGAGAAAGGGCAAACTCCCACTGATTTTATATTTCCCTCTGACTAACACCATTTTCTCCCTTTTCCTTTAAAACCAAAGTAATGTCCCCGTTTCCTCACGTATAATACAAGTCCATTCCAAACTGGAATATCTGCTTTCTCCATACTATTTGAAGGTAACCAAGATTATCCTACTTGCCACCTAACATAATTATGATGTAACAATTTTTATTATGAAAAACTTCTTGTACGTGACAGAAAAAAATTAAAGGATGATTTTAAAAAGTTACCTATTTTATTTCATTTTATTTCATCCAGCTTCATTAAGATTTTGATATTATTTCCTTCAGGTCTTTTTCTCTATGCACACAAATAACACCCAATTTTTTCACAAAATGTCATCATATCATATATTACTCTATCTTTTAAACTAACTGCTTATTATAGATAAGTTAAAAAAGCGTAATAGGAAAGCAAAAGCACAACTACACTCTCTAAAATGTGACACTCCTGATCACTAGTCCTGAAGATAACCTGGAGCCGTAATAACACTTTGTTTTGCCTGGCTCACCTGTTTCTGTAACACTGCTCACCCACGGTGCCTTTCCCTGGCCGACCTCTCTTTCTTGCGCACACCTGTTCTCTGTGATCCCTGTCACACCTTCCTTTATCACAACAATGACTCTCCCACAGCAAGATTCTGAGTCTCAATTTCTCTTCGGAGCTGAAGACCACAGATGCACTTCATGTCAGTCACCTCCACCTGAATGGTCCACAGCTGGGTGAACTCAAACTCGTAACTCGATAGCTTTAAAACGCAACTTTTTTTTTTTTTAAACTCTACCTCTATAGTTTTCTGTATTCACTCTGCTTCTGAATGGCCCTTCCCCACCTACCCAGGGGCCAAGGCCAGAAACCATGCTAGATGCCTCCCTCTTCTCTTCTCCCATATCTACTTAGCTCCACAGGCCGTGGATCTTCCCTGTTTCTTCTCTTTGACCTCTGTTGAGGCATGTATTGGCTCCCAGATCTGTCCTCACTGCTGTCCCCACCATCCGTGCTGTCCTCATTTTGTGTCTAGTTATTCCAACAGTAGATGGCCAAGGAAAATCTACTGTTATTTGGTTGAACAACAAACAAACCTACCTGTAGTCCCCCAATCTCGATACTCACTCACTCTCACTGGTCTTCTTTGACAGCTTCTTTCTATCTGTCAAGGGTTAGCCGCCAACCACGCTACCTAAACGCTCTGAGGCAGTGGTGGCGAACCTACGACGTGTGTGCCACAGCAGGCTGTTTGTATCACTGAAAGGTTCGCCACTGCTGCTCTAAGGCATTGCCAAGTGAGCCTCTGAGTCTGCTCATAGCATCAACAACTTCATTACACAGTCACAAACACGTGCTTGCTGGTGTTCGCCACTAGCCTACATAATTGAGTATCTTTGATTTATACTCAATATTTCAAACAGAAAAAATCCCCAACAAAACAAAAACAAAAAGCAAAAGAAACTTACCTTTTCATGGCAACCAAAAGTACTGAAGGCGCAGGGGATTGGGGCCGTAGGACAATCTAGATCATAGTGAGTAGGCATCTGAAAATCAGAATGAAGGTCAAAAACTGTTATTCCCTGAACGTGAGGTTCCAGTTTGATGAGATTACACTTAAAAAGGAATTTACATTTTGCCTAAATAAAACTATGTATTGTGTCAATGGCTGTTTTGGGGCCATAGCAGCAAACCTAAGTAAGCTGTGTCAGAAATCTGTAGCCCACAAAGTTTGAAATAATATTCATTTCTGAAAATCTCTTAATATCTGCCTCCAAATTCAATACCATTCATTTCATAAAAGGAATTTGTTCCTCTTATAGCAACTGGCACCCTCTAGTGGTATTTTCAAGAAAGAACAACTTCTGACAACTACAACTGCATACGTAAGAGGGACCACCAGTCAACTGCACGCATTAAAACCACTGACTAGACTCATTACTTGCCTTATACAAACTTCCCACAAATCACCTTACCTTTTGTTAAGCTGGGCATATTCTGGCTAAACTGATGGAACTCAGATATTTGGGGACTGAGAGGTTAGAAGGTATTTTAAGCACATTCTGGAAAGCCTCAGGCTTTGACACAGGGAATCAAAGACACATTCTTATTCTTTGTGGTACTGGGCAGTAAACTCAAGGCCTTCACGCCGATCTAGATAGCTAGCCCTTTTTAGTTTCTATTTTTAAGACAGGGTCTCACTAACTTGCCCAGGCTGGACTCAAACTTGTGCTCTTCCTTTCTCAACCTCCTGTTGCTGTATGTCTGCTGGATTACTAGGCATGTGCCACCACAACCTGCTTCAAAGACACATTCTTTAGACAGAGTTCCACTACGTAGGATGCTTTGAAAGCGGTACTAAACTTTGGCTGTATAGATCAGAGGGCAAGTTAACAGTACAGCCAGGATCAAAGCCTAGGTTTTCTGACGCTTTGTCTAGGGTTTTTTCCTAAAGTAAAGTTTATTTCTGCTGGGTTTTAAATGTGCTGCATGATTTCCTTTAAATATTAAAGATAGCAAAAAGGAAAACCAAGGAGGTGGGCCTTAAGCAAAAAGAAATTTAACACCTTCAGGTCAAGACTTTGTTGGAAAGAAACTAAAGGCCTCTGTTAACAGACAAATGGAAAAGTTTAGTCAAGTGACAGATTTTGCTTACTCTACATAGTAAGGTAATCAATAGTGATCTCCAGGTTTGCAGATTTCATGGGTCTAAACCTCTCTGGTGACTAATACTCATATTTTGTGGGTAAACTCTCCAAATGTCAGAAGCTAACAATCAGATGGAATTTTCCTCTCTCTGTGCATAATCAAAACAGTTTTCTATCATAATTTATGGGCTCTGATGATAGCCCATCAGTGGCCTAACGGACAACCAAGACAGGGGCCACAGGTGCTGGAAATTGCAAACCTTCCCTAGCCGCAGGGGTCACAGCTACAAATAATGTTTTGCTACTGAACAGCTTTGCTTTCTTCTGTTTCACTGTTTTCTCTTACTTTTCTGGCTAGGCTGAAGAGCTCATTTCACAGTGTGTAAATATGTGTTTCTCAGCCTTTTCTTTCTTGGGCCAGGGATGCACATCAGTGGTACAGCACTTGCCTAGCATGTGCAAGGCGCTGGATTCCACCTCCAATACGTACACACACACAGAAAAGTTTTCTTTCTTTAAATAGGACCCTTATATTTAATTGTGTTTACCTTAAAATTTAACTGTGCTTATCTTAAAATATGATCTTATAAAGATACATAAAGGTAGGTGTTATGTTAATGACTTAGGGATTTTAAGTGCTTAAAGAATTACTGGATTTTTATTCTTTCAAAAGTTTTTATTAATTACATTAATGGATATGAACATACATAAACATAAGTACTATGTTAACGACTTAGGAATTTTAAATAATTAAAAGCACTGGAGTTTTGTCTCCTTGAAAATATTAATTATATTAATTTATATAAAAAATTTATGTATAGTCCTATAATTCCAATACTGTTTCAACCTGTGTTCATTTGCTATACTGATTCAATTTTTCAATTAAAAAATTGAAATTAACTTCTTTAAGCTATCTTGAAGCTTTTAATTTATGGAAAAGAATCATTATACCTGTTCTCTGATGAGCATGGTGTGGCAGTATTCACAGATGACATTTGCCAAAGGGCAGTTCTGGTCATGGATCTACATTTTATGAGAGAAATATAAGACAAGCATGAGAAAATTAAACGAAGTATAAACAGCCCATTTTTATAAAAAGTATTGGTTTCACTATGAATAAATTAAGTATATCAATTTGTGTTCGGCAAAAATGTGAGAACAGCTTTTGTAAGGCTATTTTCTTTCCTTTTACTAGTGCAATAATGAGATTCATTCAGTCTTCTAGCTCCCTCAAAGAATATGGCAGTCTACAAAAGAATTTCTAAATCACTGTTTTCTAACCTGAAGCAGTCTATCTGTGACTAGTTTGGATATCATTTGCTAACACTATGATTCTTCAAAGGCAAACTCCTTCCAAAAGTTTTGCGCAGCAGCGTGACAATTTAATTAAAACTCTTGTCAGTTACTAAAGAAATGCATTATTAAAGCGGGAGGAGTTGGTCTCCCCGTTCTCAGATGTTGTTTTCTAGAATACAATGACTTTAGTTCAGCCAATGCACTGAGAAACAATTAACCTTACCCGTTCAGTCCATCTAATGTATTCGAGTTTAGCAAAGAGATGTTAATTTCTTCTAATCATGACTAAAATTTCTCTGTATTTTTAGCAAGTTAGCTTTTTAAAGCATTTTATCAGCATAATAAATATAATATGCTTGATCAAAGGAAAAATCACAACACAAATTAGTAAGAACTAAAGTTTAAGGAAGTACCTAAGTATTAGTGATAAAAATATAAATTACACATAGTTTATTTTAGTAGATAGCACAAAAGAGAGAGATTAAAGCCTGGAATTTAGATGACAAGTTTTGACACTGACATTAATATAAAACTATTCAACTTCTCCATATCTTGATTTCTGAATAATAACTGTCTGATCTTTTTGATGCTGTCAGGCACCATGACGTTTCTTTTTAAAAGGTAAACTTTTTAATGTAAGTATAAAATACACACTCAAAAGTAAGTATGGTGTATAGGACAATGAATTATCACCAATGGTATATACTTCATGGGATTTAACTTATTCTTTGTATCAATTCATTTTCTTTTGCAAGATAATTTTGTAAAAATCTTACATAGCAATCATTTTTATGCCTGCAATCAGCTTGGTTATTAAGATCCACACATATAAGAGAACTGACTAGCAAATGCATTTCCCAGCAGCTTTTGTTGCCTGTAGATCTACAATCGTAGCTACTAGGATAAACAATGTTTATAAGAAAAATATGCATATATAAACTCCATACTTACAATAAATTATTGAACTTTCATTTCTTTCTTAAAAATCAATTTTCCAAAAATTAATAATGCAAAATCACAATTACAGTCCTAACCTTATCTACTGCTAACCCCCTCAAACATACATTAAAACTTGATTTTAAAAAAGCAGCGGAATTAACAAATCCAAGTTAGCACATGCCTCTTTTTCTTCAAATGCCATGGATACAGCACAGTTTACACAAGAAACCTGTCTCCTTGGACAATCCTGGAGGATGTGAATATTAAGCTGGCATTTTTGAATGGGGCGTTGGCATTGGAGACAATTAATAAGAGCAAACTCACAATGTGCTTGATGATCCTACAATAAAGAAAAAATAATCAATTAGTCTTCCCCAGTCCTAAAGTTTTCTGAAGATAATCTCTTCTAAAAATACATGGTTCTCTGTTTTAGAATTGGCTACTAAAACTACATTATCTACTATACACAATATGAAGGCCTTACTGAATATTTTTCAAATAGTGGTGTAGACTGCAAGTTTATATGAAGAATGTGAATTCTCAAATTCATACATTCAATTAGGGAAGAGAATTGGAAGGAGGTCAGATTTCCAGAACAGCAATTCAGTATTACTTTCCTTTATTTAATTTATTTATTTATTTTGGTACTGGGAATTGAACTCATGACCTCACGCTTGCCAGGCAGGTGCTGTGCCGCTAAGCTACAACCCTGGCTCTCAGTACTATTTTAAAAGAGCCACTTTCTCAGAAAGTACTAAGTATAAGAGGCAGACTGCAAATCTGCCTTAAACATTTGATTTCAAATATAATTAAAAATATTTATTTCTAGTAAAAGTCACCGAACTAAGAGTTGATTTACTATAATTTAAAAACATATTCTTGTATTATCTGATGCTTTTAGTTCATATCAAATTAACTGAAAGGAGTGCTTCATTTAGTTTATAATAAAATGCCCAATTTAGAAAAACAAAAAGGGCCAAGGAGGGCACTGGCATGATAGTTACATAGGACTTACTGTCTATTTCCAGTGAAAGAAATGAAGTTACTGCATTAAAATGTGACGCCTGAATTTAAAATGCTCTCCATTGGTTTTATTCTATATAATACTTGCCCTCTAGGCCGGGTGTGGTGCGCACACCTGTGATCCCAGCACTCGGGAGGCTGAGGTACGAGGATCATTGCAAGTTTGAGGCCAGCCTGGGCTACAAAGTGAGTTCAAGGCCAGCCTGAACTGCATAACAAGACCATGTCTCACAAAGACAAACAAAAACAAGAATAAAAACTTACCCCCCAAATTTGTAGAACACTGATTCTTTATTATTGCTGAGGAAAAGCCAGAGTAAACTGAATAAAAAATCCCTACTTTCTTCTTATATTTATATTTAAAAATCAAAGGGTTAATATTCATTCAGCAAGAATTTAAAAACTAGTTGTTATAGTCTAGGTACTAGAAATACACCCATTAACACAGCGAGATCTCTGTTCTCTGGAAACTGTCTCAAATATATGCGAAGAGCTTGGAAAGGACTTCAATACCTCCAGATGCCTCAGTTCCATCTTGTGTAAACAACCTTCATTTGGACACTTGACCGTGAGAGAGAGAATCTCTCGTTTTGCAAAATTGTCAGGAAATAGCTGATTTTCCAGCAGTATTTCATTGTCAACGGGACATTTGTGACCTGCATCCCTAAAAGCAACAAGATGCATTCAATTTGTTGATTTAAATGCTCCCATGATAAAAACTGACTTTATCATACAAAATAAGGTTAACACATTGTACCGCATAACACCACCAAAATAAACTCTTTTATGGATAATTTATGAATTTACGCTTTAGCCTGTGGGATCCATTCCAGTTCAAAAATGACAAGTGCTTATTGAATTAAATGGTATTTTGATTGGCATAAAATGAGGTGAAAGTAAGGAATGGGAATACTGACAGCCTGGCTGGCCTCCACCCTGACAGCACCTACGCAGTCCCCTAGGAAGATGGACCACACCTCTGCTGACACGTCTGTAGCACACTGCTCAGTCACACGAAGATTTAACCAACTTGCAGTGCCCGTGAGGCTCACACAAGTGTGCGGTCTGCGACAGGTCATGTGCAAGGAAGGTTTCCTTCATTTGTATATTTAGTGTGCCCCCAGGTAACAGGAAGTTACAGGGCCTCTATGTCACACTTCCGAGTGGTTCTTTTCCTTACTTTCCTTTTCCTTCTCCCTTTCCCTTTCCCTTTTCTTAATCAATCACTCAAACACTTCCTGAGTGCCTCTTCTGTGCTGAAGAGTGATGGCTGCTGAGGCAGACAGAAGGTGACTGAAAAACAGTGCTGCCAGCCGCTTTACAACTCAGAACAGTGAGAGACACAGGGAATCTTTATGGTGCCTTTCTCAGACTGCACAATTAGTACACTGTCAAATACAATCTGATAGCACAGGAAGTAATAAATAACTTTAATGAAATATATACCCCAAGCCAAAAGTGATGTATATCTAGAGAAAGGAGGAAACAAAGTAAGTGAAAATCACTATCCAAAGTATTACTGACCATCCCAAAAGAAAATGGAATTAAATTGAGATGTATTTTGATTCCTTGAATGATTATAACGGGTGAAAAGTTTTAGAGCAGCTTCTTCAAGAACATTAGACATAAATTAGGCGGCCATTTATAGCTTGGAGGGAGGTAGTGGGAAGAGAGCCTCGGATTTCTGTTTATGAGTTACTTCCTTTTCACACCACTGTCTCCCTGCTTTCAGACAAATTTTGCCATTAAAAAGCTGCTAAAGATGAACTACCTTCCTGGGCATGGTGACACTGGATAAAATATATTTCTACCTACAGGAAAGTCAACAATTCATACGACCTTTTTTTAAAAAAAAAAGTTTAACTACAACATAACTAAAAATCGTTAGACAGAAAAAAGATTGGCCACTGCTCTCCGGTATACCCTAAACCAATGATGGTGAACCTCTTAGAGCTTTCAGTAATAACGGTTGGTTATGGCACGCGTGCCATAGGTTCATGACCACTGCCCTAAACCAGTGGCCTCAACTAGGGGCTATTTTGTTCCCAGGAGTCACTGTAGGTCTCATTCCTGGGGGCAGGGTGGACACTACTAGCATCCAGGAGACACAGGCCAGGCTAACGTCTCACAACACACAGGACATTCTCCACAACAAAGAAAACCCAATCCAGCCCAAAACATCAGTGGTGGTGAGGCTGAGAAACCTATTCTAAACAGATCTTGTTAGTTCTACAGGAGCAAAATCTCTCCCCCAAAACTGAAACAGACACACTTCCTTATAACTGCAGGGAAGCCAAATCCAGAGCAAGGGTATAGCTACCTTAATTTTAAGTCTTATAGAAAAGTTAGTGTAAAAGTTGAAAGATAAAAACTTACAAGGCCAACGACTAGCCACAGAAGAACTTAGCCTAGTTAGGAATGATTTCACTGATATAATAGATGGCTATTTATTGAAGGACATAAACTCCCCTCCCAATTTTTTTTTTTTTTCGGTTCTATACCAAACTGCTTTGTCATATACAAATATTGCTCATTTACCTTTTTCTTTTTTTTTTGCTCATTTACTTTTGAGTTATAATAAAATGTATTTATTTCCCAGGGGATGAAGTTGAATGATCTGTGGAAACACCATGTATTTCAGGTAAAACAACCACATCTGCTGACCACCTCCTGTTGGGAAGGGCCTGCTCCTGGCACTTAGGCAGTATCAAGAAATGAAACAGATCTGAACTGTTGCTCTCAAGAAGCTTACCCTCCAATGGGACACAAACAAAATTACCTTGTGTTTTAGCAGGCAAAAGTGCTATGAAGAGAAAGTAGAACCTGGTGAAGAAGACCGGGCACATTGGACAAAGCAGGACAGAGGCGTGCTGTGGCATAAACAGGGTAGCCACAGAACCCGCTGGGGTGGCATTTCAGCCATTCTGGAGGGAGTTCAGGTGGTAAGACACGGCAAGACTGTTCCGAGCAGAGAGAACAGCTGAAGCAACTCAGCAAGGAAGGAGTGTGCTTGACACGGTTTATGAATGGCAAAGGAGGAGTGGATTTTGGAGAGGGAGTAGACCCAGTAGAGGGGAGGTCAGAAATTAATTATATGCCTATCTAGGGCTCTGAATTTTACTCCCACACACCTGCTGCAATGTTCTAGGCAGAGATGACATCGTCTCACTTATTTTACAGGTTCATTTAGATGCTGTAATGAGACAGGCAGAAGGCGACAGCAGAAGTAGGGAGGTCAGTTAGAGTTGGTGGTGACTCAGAACAGATACTGGAGTCAGCGAAGAGAGACTGGATTATGGATATACTCAGTGTGAAGGTAGAGCCTTCACTTAATACCTGCTTGGAAAGTACTAGTTATTTCACAGGTGCTCATAGCAAATACACATATCTATATCTATAGATGTAGGTATGTATATATAGATAAATGTACATACACAAGATAGCTGAGATACTTGTACTACCAATTTCTATTAGTTCACTGAAAGGAACGGTTTGTGCTTCTACTGTTCGATCAATTTTGCATGCCATATCCTGTAATCTCAGCACCTACTTTGAGGATAACAATATGCAATAGAATAACTATTATTAATTTCCTATCATCTTGTTTTGAAATTGTGTGTCACTGTTTTTATTGTTTTGTCCTCTTTAAAATAAAGGAAGTAGACATTAAATAACAACCTTTACCACGGATAAAATCAGAATAACTGATCACTTATAGAATAAACATTCTCTGTGTAGTTGAGATTATCATATTCTACTAGTGTCTTTTAAGGTATATTTAAAAATATTATTTTCTTAAAGCGGACAGTCACCCCCTGGTATGCATTCAAATCACTTGGAGTAGAAGTGGCTATCTGCTTTCTTATTTATCTACACATCAGGGGAAGGAAAGAGAGAGAATTCACTTTTTCTCCGGTACTAGGAACCGAACTCACAACCTTGCACTTGCCAGGCAGGCGCTTTTGCTGCTGAGCTAAATCCCCAGCCCCAGAATTCACTTTTTGTACCACAGTGGGAACTAGTATATGAAGTTTAACACTTTCTGCCTATTGTTCCTTTCCCTCCATAGCTTTTTATGTCTAAGACTCTCACTGGGATGTGTGTTCTGCATGGTACTGTTCTTGCATGTGTTTCTGTCACCGGCCACCACTCTTCCCTAAGTCCACATACCGTATTGATTTGGTGATGCAGGCCTTGCAGAACCTATGGCCACATGGCGTCTGCACTGCTTCCCGCAGAGCCATCAAGCAGATGGGGCACTCGTACTTGCTTTCCAGGGGCGGGTCGAACTCGACATCATACCCCTGGATCTCTTCCATGAACGAGCTGGAGAGGTTCCCTGTGCTGGTACTGGTCGTCCCGCTCACACTGTCATCTTTTACCGCAGCGCTGCAGGAGCTGGCCATGGCAGCACAGCAGTCACTTTCTGACTGGCTGGATCCGTAGCTGTTTTCACAGTTTAACAGACTCATAGTAACGCGCTTATCAATTGCTCTGTGAAAATAGCAAGGAAAAAATGCTTTAGTATGCAAACGCAAACACACACACACACACACACACACACACACACATTCTTGTACCTAATCAATGCAAGTCACCCATGAATTCATTTATAGTATTAGGTGTGTCAATGTTATTCACAGTCTTGCCCAAAGTTAAAGGAGGAAAAATTTATTGAGCTCAGTCTGCGAAAGTTTCAGTTCATACGTGGCTGGCTCCAAGGCAGGGTGGGATGGCAGAGGGCCATTGCAGAGGAGAAACAGTTCCCAGCACGCAGAAGGCAGCAATCGACTAGAAGTGACCCCCTTGCCGTCTCTTTTATCTTATCCAGGCTACCCACCCTTAGGGCAGGTGGCATTCACACCCAGGGTGGGGCAGCCTCAATTCTAGCATCACACCACAAATCAATCTGAGCATCACAACCTTGATCTCAGCAGCACACACCCTGGATCCAACCACCTTTGAAAAGCCCCACCTATCACCACATGTAGATACAAACCATAACAGTTACAAAACAATTTTTAAAGTGTTTTGAGCTTTGCTTCATGACTACTATTTTACAAGTTATTTGATTCCCTCCTTCAAGAATTACATAGCATGGCCTATGCAAATCACTTAATGCACATAAAGGCTGGGCCCTTTAAGAAGTTCATGATCTCGTAGGATGACAATGTTAAGGTTAAAAAAGAAAAAGCACTTCAATTGTAATACTCATCCATATCATAGTATCTATTTACATGTCTGTTTCCTGTGACGTGGGTGAGGAACTTTTCATTTTTGTACCCTCAGTATTAAGTGCAAGATTTTCAGATAATAGGTGTTCACTAAGTATCTGCTGAAGAACTTAGTCATGTTGCTTAAGTTCCCTCAAACACTCCGAGCGGAAGGGCATGATACAGCTAGCAGCACAGCGCTAGGAGGAGCAGTGCACAAGGCAACAAGTACTCACTTGCCCCTACTGGGTGTACGCTTTTCAGCAAGTTACTTGACTGTTTGAATCTTGGTTTCTTCTTCTGGAGCTAAAATTCTATCAGGACGTTCAAAGGGTCAGTGAGAGGATTTTGACTATATAGCAAGAATGGGATTAAAAACATGTATCTTTATGTCCTCTGCCTTCCGTCAGCTCAAGTGACTGTTTCATTATTAATGACTGGAAAAACAAGTGTGGTTTCTTTGCCGGTGAGAAACTACTGGTCTCATGAGCATGTGGGATATCTTCACATTCTAACCCTTTATGGCTCTTACATGAGGAGCTAACGTCTTTAGAAATTTTTATTGGTACACGTTTGCAGTACACAATGATTATATTCCCCATGGGAAGTTGGTAAACGTACATATCTTTTATAAAAATACGTTTAACTCTTGTTTTTGTATTAGAACATGTTTGCAGTATGCAATGGTTACAATTATTGTGGGGAGCTGGTACATGTGCATAATACATTGTAATTCTTTTTTCACCCCCTTCCCCTCCTGTCCTTCTTCCATCTCTTCACTTCTTTCCCATTTGCAAAAGATTTTCCTATTATCTACCTTTTATTTTGCTCCTTATTTATATATTTTGGGTTTGTCATATAAGAGAAATGTACTATTTAAACTTGTGTGCCTGACTTACTTCACTTAACATTGTGTTCTCAAGGTGCAATCATTTTCTTACAAATGACTTTAAATTTATCCTTCTTTATGGCAGGGTACTACTCCATCGTGTGTAAATGTCATATTTTCTTTATCTATTCATCTACTGATGGGTATATGGGCCACTTCAAAGATTTAGGCATTATGAGTTGCACAGCTGTAAACACAGGTACGCATGTACTGCCGTAACATGATGTCCTTAACTCTGCAGAAAGATAACTACAAGAATAGCTGAGCTGAATGGAATTTCTATCTTTAGTTTTTTTAGGAATCTGCATAGATTTTCATGGTTTGTCCTGTTTTCATTCCCGCCAAAAATGGAGAAGGGTTTCTTCCTTTTTCCTTGATACTTGGCCAGCATTTGCTATTATTTGATTTCTTGATGATGGCCATTCCTTCTGGAGTACGGTAGCATCTCACTGTTGTTTTGATTTTCATTTCTCTAATGGCCACAAGTGTTGAATATTTTTTCATGTATTTATTAGCAGTTTGTACTTTTGGCTATCTACCTGAAGAAGATAGAATCTAGACCCGTACCTTTTACCACATACTTTAACCAAAATCAAAATGGTTCAAAGATTTACATGTTAAAACAGAAATAATCTGCTGGAAGATAAAATAGTTAAAACTCTTGAAGACATAGGATTAGGCAAGGACTTTCCAAATAGAACCCCCAACTGCATAAGAACCAACAAGTGAGACCTTATCAAATTAAAAAACTGCACAGCAAAGGAAGAGTGAAGAGACAACCTATAGAATGAGAAAAAGAATTTTGCCAGCTATCCCTCAGAGAGAAGACTAATAGCTAGAATATATAAAGAACTCAAAAGGATCACAGCCTCCAAAATAAAATATGCAATAAAAACATGGGCAAATGATTTTTTTTTTTCGATTCGGTACCACGAATCGAACTCACAACCTCACGCTTGCCAGGCAGGCGCTGTGCTGCTAAGCTAAGTCCCCAGCCCCAACATGGGCAAATGAAATGGACAGACACTTCCCAGAGGAACTAATGTCTTGAATGAATTCACATCCCTGTAGCCATATCTCTATTTTAGATAATTACACTTGAGGAAAGTTCTTAATATGGGCCAGATACAGTTCTAGAAGCAGAATATAAACCTCCAGTTAACAGTATAAAATTATTCCTGCCTATCTCATAATATGTAAACATTTGGATTCCCATCTTACCAAATCTACGATTAAGACAGCAGTCCTCAATCCTTTCATCCCTATAAATACCTTATTATTTATCTTAAAGACTAAAGTGCCATTAGATCATCTACAAAGGACAGCAAAGTATTATGGCTGGAAAGGCCAGAGTGAAATGGTGATGAGACCAGGTGCCAGACTAGATGATCTAGATTTAACTCTTTTCTCCCATGATTTGGTGTATAACATTGGTCTAAAACTTCTTTGTGCTTCAAATTCCTCATCTATAAAATGGGGTTAATGACTGGATTCACCTGAGAGCTACTGAAAGGATTAAATGTATTAATACATATGCAAAACACTTAGAACGGCCTGGTGGTAAGACTGAATTATTATTTTATACAGCCTTATATAGTATTTTATTTAGTTTTATTGGCTCCCACTTGTCAAAGTGGGAACTACACAGCTTAAGGGGGTTATGTAACTTCCCCAAGATTATCCAATTAATAAATAACAGAGATCAGACCCAAAGAGTGATCAGCTCTACAAGTGTGTACTTTGTACTGCATGTTCATCAGTGCTTTGACAAACGCACCTACGAAGTAGCACTGAAGAATTATTTCTCTTTGATTTTATTATAGTACACTAATGTGCTGACTATAACTACTATCGTGTGCTTTTTAATTTAATTTTTTATTTTATTAGTACACGTTTGCAGCACATAATGATAAATTCATTGCGGGTAGCCAGTATCCATAAATAACACATTGTAATTCTTTTCATTTCCTTTCCTCTCCCCGCTCTACCTCTTGGGCCCCTTCTCATCTGCAAGAGCTGTCCAGCGTTTTTAAATTGAATTGATAGAACTCCAAGGAACCAGTAGAGTTGGTATTTTGTTTCACATGTCTAGTTTCCATACAATATTTGTGAAAAGTTGCAGATACCTTCCAAAGCCTTGCTATTTCTAATATGAGCTCCTAGGGAAAATCATGCAGCTTGGGAGAAAGGAAGAAACGCAAGACAGTGCCAAAGAGCAGCCCTGTGCACATGTGCCCTAAGATGGGGTACAAGGCCTTCTTTGTACTCTTTATACTTGAGGATAAATGACACAGCTACGCCACAGCAGGGTTTATATCTCTGCTATTTCCCTTCCCATGTACACTACTGTATCAACCACTTCTTGAAGTAAATTTCCTAGAAATAGAATTGTTGGGTCAAAGGATATATATTTTTTAAGCTTTATCACAGATAATGATAGTTATCCAATTTAAATAAAAGGTTTTCTGATTCTCATTCCCACCAAGCATCTAAAAGAGAGCTCATTTTCTATATCTCTGACATTAGGTATATTTTACCTCTTAGTAAAATGATTCATGACAAATGAGTATTTTTTGTTGTACACCAGGTACCACAGTGTAGCCCTAAAAGACGAAGACAAACATGACTGAACTCAGTCTACCTTTTCTGCCCCACATATTCAGTTTAAAATTGTTACTGGTTGTGTATGCACTGTCCTCTTCCTACCCACTTCAAAGGACATGAAGGTCACTAAATTTGAAGAGACCTTTTATAGCTAATGTGTTCCTCGGAAAATCTGTCCTATTAGTCATGACTCCTTAAAAGAAACTCCACTGGGGGAACATAATGTAAGATATTAAAGTGGGCACTCTAACAGATAATCACATGCCTACAGTCCTCACATCCTGGGAGGCCTAGGCAGGGAGGGTCCCCAGTCCAAGCCCTATCTGGGTAACTTAGCCACTCAGTGAGACCCTGTCTCAAAATTTTTTTTTTTTTAAAAAAAGGACTGTACCCAGTATAGTCCTCCAACACAAAACAAAACAACAAAAAATCCTAGCAGACATTAAACAAAACAAAAAAAAAACCCTTAGAAGACATTAGACATTTTTTGAAGTAGTTCTGGAAGTCCTCATCTGTGTCTCTATAGTGTGATCACAAACACAGTGAGTGCTGCTTTCAATTCATCCAGTGGAAAGGCAGGCCTGTAAAATCTTTATGTCCACAACAACCTGTTTCATCTGCTCTGACGTCATGAGACTTCTGGCTTTTCCCCCAAATGACCACGAAAGGTGAAAGCTTTGAATCATTTTAGGAGAGCAAGGCAATCATGACACCACAACTAAAGACAAAATAAGACTTCCAGAACTGCTTCGGAAAGTGGCAAAATGATGAGATAAGCACGAAAGAAACAAGGGGAAGTGTTTTGAGGGGTATTAATGGCAACGTGCTTTCTGCTGTATTAAACTTAAAAGACTCACCTATGTTTTGATCCTACTGTGTATCTTTCAGACAAACCCCTTCAGATACTCACGTAACTAGCCTGCAAAGGGAAAATGAAGCTAAAGGTGGTATTTTTTTTTTTTTTTGGTACTAGGAATCAAACTCAGGACCTTGCGCTTGCCAGGCAGGCGCCTGTGCTGCTGAGCTACATCTCCAGCCCTACAGGTGGTATTTCTGAGAGCCGTTTTTTATTTTTATGTTTATGCTCTTTTAGGTAAGTTAAAATATTTTTCCTTTTACTTTTACATATTGCAATTGCTTAAGTGAAAATAATTTTTCTAATTGAACTACAACAAATAGCTATTTTAAGTAACACTAAGAGAAGAACGAAAGTGCTTGGAGTTGGCTACAGGTGTACAAGACAACGTGGATTCATATAGAAAATACTACACTCTATCGCGATTCTTTTTAATCTTATTCTGTGCCATAGGGAACCACATCAGAAGGTGCTACAAAGGCAGGCCCAAGAGGAGCTACAATAAGAATTAGTATGTTTTTGTAAAATAAATTTCTTACAGTTTGTCTCCTTATTTCCGTGGCTTTCTACATGAATTACTGGAGCGGATGGAACAAAGCTGCAATTGTTCCTTAACCGGTATGTTAAGAGCTTCTTGATTCCAATTCCCTTTTTGTAGCTGGGAATCTACTGTGGTAAGTACTACTTTATTTAAATACTGAGGTGTAACACCTGCCAACTTATTTTGGCTGCAAAATGAATATCTGAATTAGCCTTGCCGTAAGTCATGGCTTAACTCCCAAAACGAGTATCTGCAGATACATTATAAACTAAAGAGAAGACTGTTACATGTTGCAGGGCAAGGAAAGGAGTCCAGGAATTCACTAAAACTTGACTCACTAAGATCAACAGATGCCAACGACAGAAAGGTGCAGTGTGTGAAGTGAAAGAAATCAACACGTTATGCCTTGAATGAGTCAATTTCAAGTCAACTGAAATTCAAACATGAGTAAACATACACCTCATAAAGTAAAACCATGTACCAGAAAATAAAAATCCCTTCAATGTGTTACCAGCTTTAGAAACAGGACCGATTCACCAACTCCTTAAAATCTGTGGCTACAACGCGAAGACCTGCAGATGTGTTACCACGCTCAAGAAGCTACAAAATGTTCAGTTACTGTAATTTAATGTTGAATCCCAACTCATAGTGCATCTCCCTTCTTAGGCACTGTCCGTTCCCTTTGAGGAGGCAAAGACTGGAACGATTTCTTTCACAATCCAAGTGGTCAAAAATTGATCAGCCCTCGGGGGTATCAAAGATGACCACACAGAAGCCCTCACCTTAAAACTGCGACTGTTACAGTGTACCTAGTGTATTAAGGCTGAAGTCTGGGTGAGCCTCGTATCCATCACGTGGGCCACCAAGGCCTGAAATAGTCTTTCCTTCGATCACAAAACAGGCCACACTGTCCTTATCCCCACCCCAGCCTCAAAAACCCTCAGAGCCCCCCGACCTTCCCTAGGGCCAAAGGAGAAGGGATCAAACGTCAGCAGCCTAGTTCGCAAAACCCACTTAGAACTTCCTTACAAATCATTCTCACTGCCAGACCCGCGCAGCCCTATACCCAGTAACCTGCTGTCGGACCCAGAAACGAACACACACATCCGAGCTCCTAGTACTTTAGGTGCTTTCTGTTCAAATTCAAGACAGCCCCAGCTCTCAGCCGGAGTTCCCCTCCAGCCAAATACTAGGAACAGCTCTATCAAGCCGGGTCTGGACCGAGCACTAGAAATACCGAGGGCAGGGGCGGGGAGGAAACGCTCGTGTCATCTCAAATTCTTTTTTTTTTTTTTTTTAAACTCCCTCCCTGGACTTGCACGGAGTTCAACAAGGGACCTAAAAATAGCTTTCCCATGACAGTGACAGGGGGAGTCGCTGGGAAGGTGAAGTTGTTTTTTTTTCTTTCCTGGAAGATCGGAGCCCTCCGCGCCCCGCGGGGCGGGACCTCCGGGAGGCGCCCCGTTTTCGGGGAAGGGGCGCGGAAGCGGCGGGGCCGGGGGAGCGGGGTGCGGGGCCGCGCGCGGAG